CAGAACGCAGCGACGCTGAAATCGAAGAGCACGACGGTCAAGTGCGCTATTACGAGGCCAGCAGAGCGCGGCGGTGTGTTTGACTACGCAAGTGACGAGCGGCCGATGCGGTCAGTGTAGCTAAAACGCACTGATGAAGCTAGGCGGAGCCTGTTTCTGTTAGCGACTATTATATCTGCTTCGAGTCACTACCAGTGAGGTGAAGCTGGGCTGGGCTGTCACTACCCAGAGTTTTGGTATACAAACTCACGCGCGAAGTGGCTCAAGTTCTAAACTGGCGAAATCGATTCCGCTGTTGGTTTGGGAACTCCAACCCCCCTTCCGAAACCCTCCGCCTCGATTGTTCGTTTCTCCGCAAAGGGGCACTTGTGGAGAAAGGGTTACCCTGTTTTCGAGTGATAAACCTTTGCATGTCCCTCGAAGTATGTAGACCGCAGCTTTAAGGTTGAAATTTGGATTTTGAGGAGTGCTACAAGAACTACCTGCTCTGAACAATGGGAGGTACGGTTGTGTAGTAGTTGCTCCTTTTATGTAAGCGTTCGATGTGCTGATTTGATTTGGCTGGTTTTAACGGAATGTTTAACCCCCACCCTATCCTTGTGTCACGAGCCACCTTTCGCCAAGGAGGCAACAAGACTCCCCGTAGCAATTTTGCCATTTGCTAGGAGTTTTGTTGAGGGCGTGGGCCCAAACGGGTTTGATCGCGACTGATCTGATCGGGGCGGATCTGATCGGGTTGCTTGTGATCGCAATGCCCGAGCCGCCCGATCAGTAATGTTTTTCTTAGAAGATTTTTCTCGGCTGCTGAGCAAGCGGGATTCAATTACCTGGTATTTTCGTGGCAATCTTAGCGAGACTGGCGACCATACGGCTTCTGGCGAAACTCTCTGTATCCAAGTAATATCGTGAAAACCACTCCCCTCTGAAGCCGAAGTGGTGGGATTCCACCAGATTGTTCGACACAGGCTGTATGTTCCTTGGGAGCGAGGAGAATGATTGGATGACGAAATGGGTGCCATTCCAGGGTGTTCTGTACAGCCTGGATATCTTCGTGAGGGGTTGACGAATCCCTGTAATATAGTGTTAACTTTTCGTCAGTATCGCTGTGGTCCCCGATCACCCACGACCAATTGATCGTGGGTGATCGAAGAGAATCGACTATGATCGGGGGGTAAATCGGGTCTGATCGAGTTGGGGCGATCAGCTGATTGCCCCTGATTGCCTGAATTTGGCCTCCAGGCTTCCTGGAAAGTATTGATCGCGGCTGATCGAGGCGATCAAACCCGTTTGGGCCCACGCTATGAGCCGCGGGTATGGCGTAGCGAGAGGCTCAAACAGCGAATGACCCAATAGATTTACTGTGCCCCGAAAATTGTGGAGTGCAGAACGCAGATTGCGATTCACCACCACGAGAACAGTCAAGCGGGAGTGGAAGGGCAGCTAGAGTCACTTTAAGGGCAGTTGGACCAAAGTCAAGGCTACTCCATCGGTTTCCTCACAGGAGGGCCTCACGAAGGTCGCTACTTCTGGTGGTAAAACCGGAAGAATTTCACTTGCTGTCAGTTGTTCACCCCAGAATTCACACCCAATACCACTCAAGGTAACAAATGTCATTCGATCTATGAATACCTGCTCCGGAACGCCCCTTCGACATTGTCATGTCAAACTTCTGAGGCAGGCCTTTCAACCTTTCCACGTCTGTCACGCCTCGGGATCCGAATACTGTAGTAGATTCGCGGCTTCGAGCCAAGTTTCACAAAAATTCTTGTCAGAAACTATCTACATTTGTAAATACACTTGCTTGAAAAATGTCCACCAAGTGTGTTGGAATAGCCCCAAACAGCACAGAGACACACGACTGGACGACGTGAAACTCCTCTTCCACTTCAACTTTTTCCCTTCTCTTCTGTTTCTGTTCCCTCCTACGTACAGAGGAGGTTGTCCTACACCACACGTACAGCACAAATCTGACCAACAATTCACACGCTTGCATTCTCGCAGACAGTCACACGCAAGCAGCACGGAGTTCGCCAACAACATGCGGGGCTTGTTGACCTCCAAAAGAATTCGGGGGACATCCGCCAGCTTGTGATCCTGGATGTTGGTGAATGCCGGAAATATTGTTTGGAGTGTGGCCGGACGACACTGTTTTTCCGGGGTAAAATCTCGAAGATATTTTGTTTTGCAGTCCGATCTGTGCCTGGTCAGTCCTCCTTGAACTGACCGTCTCCTCTCCACTTTTCGACAGCCTGGGAATATCATCTGGAGCTGGGTGAATTGCGATGCTAGACTGCAATTCCTGGCTTGTAAACTGGCGACAAGGGACTTCAAGAACGAGTGAACCAGATTGGATCGAAAAATGAATGCCACCCAGCATCCCAGAGGGAGCCAAGGGGGTGAAACCGTGTGAGCAGAGAGAAGGATCCCGCTTTGGATTCTCTATTTCACGGGCAGTCCCACAATCGCCGTGTGAATCTGGTTCGAAATGCTGGATTTAGCTAAACGCCGCTCAGCACCACCTTTCTGTGTTCATGAGACAGCTCCTGTGGCGAACTCGCGCAGGCTGGCTGCTGGGATCGCCTGTCTGCGCCTGCGTCGTTCGTACCACGACTGCATCATTGCCACTCTGCAGAGAGCTAGATGCACAGTGCATGAGCTTGCACGACGCGTTGGCCAGCTTGAGAATATCAAAGAGCAAGATAGGCATGGTGCATGACATGACGATATGGCATCTCGAACTGGAACGAAACTGGGACAGAAGGGATGTACCTTCTTATTCCTCTGGATAAGCGGGAAATGGGGAGGGCGAGTGATGTTTTTTTCTCACACGTTACACAATCGTACATCGCGTGAGCACAGAAAAGCAGATGAGATTGGCCGAAGCTCACCGCCATGCAAGGACACACGTCATCTCACCCTGCTCGCGTTTTTCATTGTATTTCACCATCTTCCATTTCTGACATCTGCGGTGAGGCGAGCGAGGCGAACGATCCGTGGACGTGCCACGTGGGAGTGAGAGTTTTTTTCGAAGTATCACGCAGGAACCGTCCCCAAGTGAACTAGACCGTTGCATCGGTCAAAGGTTACGCAGCGCGTTGTGAAGCGGAGTCTCCGTCATACTGGAAATGCATTTTCGGAACGAAGTGAAGCCGCTCTTACGACTTTCGAGCACGAGTTAATGTCGCGTGCGGAATCGCTGTTCGGGAGACTCTTTAGACCAGCTTAGTACAAGCGATTCGAGCCCCTGAAGGGTGATATACTGAGTAGTGACCGTGATACTATCGAGCTGTGATACTATCGCAATGGAGATGCTCGACATGATGTCGTACAAGCGGTTGCGCCCCGACCTACTTCCGCCGCCGCCGCCGCCCTTGCACGACCCTTGCGCCGCTCTGATATCACCGCCGCCGCTTCCGCCGACACCGCCGCATCTCCAGGAAAAGCCCGAAGCGCGGGCCGCGCAGCACGCAGCGGCACGCAATCATGGGCCAACAGTAGCAGCAGGCGCTGCTGCCGTTTCGCATTCATCCACGTCGCAGAATCACTTGCTGTGCCCGCTTCCCCCGCGATTACCCTCCGCATCCCGCGCGCTCCGCGGCCCCTCTCTTACTCCTCCCGCTCAATCCCCCGCTCACTCCTCCTCTTACGCCTCCACGCAATCCCCCGCTCACTCCTCCGCGCAGGGCCCCGCGCACACTCTCGCGCAGCCGCCCTCCCTCGCCAATGACTTTTCTATGGGTGGAAACGGAAACGCCCCTCTACAGTTCGCGCAAGGCCTCTGCGCTCCGCTCCCGCCAACATTTCGACGCTCCCCCGCAGCCGGCGCGGCGGGTCTCGTGGGCCGCTCGCGCCACCTACAGCGCGCAAACACGGCGGGTTCGTCGATTCGCGGAATCGCCTCTCGCGGCGGCGGCGGCGGGCCTACGCTGGGCCGCCTCAGTCCGTCCGCATCTCCCATAATCAACGGAACTTCAGCCGCGCTCTCCGGGATGTCTGCCGGAAATTTTTGCGGTTTCAGCGGGTTCGAATCGCCCTCCAACAGCCCCTTCGCTGCGGCTTCCGCCGCTTCTGCCATTTCTGCCGCGACCGCGCTCCGCCGGTGCTCCACCGTCGGGGCGGAGAGGGAGAGACCGCAGATGCTCGCTCATGATTGGTCCGCTGATAGAAATAGCATCCACTCTAACATCATGCTCCCCGCAGACTATCCTCCAGAGCTGTTACTACCGCCACACCCCCCTCCGCCAGAGATCTTCGCGCAAGCGCGCGGCGCCGCGGCGAACCAACTTCCGCCCAACGCATCTGCTCCTGCCGCCTCCGCGCCCGCCCCCTCCGCTCCGCGCGGCTCCGCGTCTCCCCCAGATTCCGCTTCCGCCAGCGCCTTCGGCGTTGCCGCCGCCTCGTCCTTCTGCCGCACCGCGCCCGGGCGCGGCGGCGCTCAGAACTCTGCCGATTACGCTGAAGTTACCGCGCCGCCTCCGCTCGCGCCTCCCGCAGGTCCTGTCGCACCCTTGCTGCAACGCGGAAACAGCAGCGGCAATCAGATGGAAACGGGTGGCAGATTTTCGGGCTTGAAGCGGCCGTCAGATCTGACGGCGACGATTATTTCTCCTTCGCGAGAGCTCGAAAAACCCCCAGCAACGGGAGCAGCGCCGGCAGTTCTCGATACAAGAACAGTCGCCGAGACTGGAAGCTGGAGCGGAAGCCAGGGAATGGAGGGGCGGGCAGGAAGAAATATCATACAGAACTGCTCTTCAAATAAGCAAAGCTATTGCACTAGTAATGGCGGCGGAAGAGACGGGGCGGATCGTGATTGGATGCGGTCGGAACAGGCTCGCGGAGGGTTGGCTGGTGACAAGGTTTTGACTTTCCGCGGTGGTGATAATAGCACGGGCGAAGTGGAAGAAATTCCCGCGTTATTGGAACAACCAGATGTGGATTTAGCGAGCCTGGTGAATGGGTTGGAGGGAGATTCGAAAGGTGTTCTTGTAACGGACGGGGCAATGGTGAATGTTGAACACTGCGAAGATGTGACTAAAACGGGGATTTTCTGTGGATCCGTTACAGGAGGGGAGGAGAGAGCTGCGGATGGGGCTAATAACGAAAGGATGGACGATGTGGGAGAGCCGGACGAGCTGGATACGTTCGATCTGACGCAAATGGAGGGTCTAGATCTGCCGATCGTCATGTCGGAAGCGAATCTGGACGAGATCTCGGGAATTTCGGCCGCAGATTTTCTCCCAGATCTTCCAGAAGATTTGTTTGCAGATCTCCCGTTAGACGCACCCTTCGATGTAGTCACACTGTGTGAAGACTCGTCAGGTTGTGCAGCCAAGGAAGGCCTGAGCGACACAGCTAACCCTTCTGATGCACGCTGCGAGGCTATAACGGATGTTTCTGCGAGTGACGTTGACCCAGCTTCTGCTGCTTCTGCTGCTCCTGCTGCCATGTTTTCTGCTTCCTCACCACCTCCCCCCACCACGCCCGGAAACCCCCCATTGATCCCCTCTTCCTCCCCCTCCACCTCCCCCAGCCCGCTCCTCAAGCTTCCCCCCTTCCGCCCCCCACAGCCGCTGCTCCGCGCTGCTCCCTCTTCCGGAGGTGGGAGAGGGTGGGATAGAGGAGAGGCGGTTGGGGAGGGAGGTGCGGTGATGGGGGAAAGAGGAGAAGCAGCAACGGCAGCACCAGCAGCAGCATTAGCAGCAGCACCAGCAGCACCAGCAGCAGCAGCAGCAGCAGCAGCAGCAGGCTTAATTGGGGGAAAGAGGGGCGCAGCAGGCGTGAATCAACAAGTGGCAGCAGCAGTGGCGTTGAATCGGCTGCTGCAGCAGAGGCAGATGCTGAGTAACCCTGCAAACAACCCCAAGCAACAACTGCTTCTCAGAGCTCTCACCGCTGCTGCCACTACAGACTCGGGTGTTCCGCCCGCTGCTCTTGTCTCAGTCATCGCAGCCTCGGCAGCAGCCTCGGCAGCAGCCTCGGGTGCTGCCTCGGCGGCAGCTTTGCCGGCAGGTTCGGAAGCAGGTTTGGGGGCAGGTTCGGCTGCTGGTGAAGCTTCTTGTGTGGGAGTGACAGGGGGGCAACAAATGCAGCAGGAACAGGAAAGTCAGCAGCAACAGATGGCGGTTTCTCTGGGCCTATTGCAGCAGCTGCAGGCACAAATGCAGGCGCAGGCACGAATCCAAGCACAGGTACACGCCCAAGCACAGGCACAGGGACAGGAACATGCACCCACACTGCAGCAGCAGCAGCAGCAGCAACAGCAGCCGCAACAGCAGCAGCAGCAGCAGCAGCGGCAGCGGCAGCCACAGCAGCTGCAACAGCCGCAGCAGCAGCAGCAGCAGCAGCAGCAACAATTACAGGTGAAGCTCCCATTCGGGGGGTTTGCAGGGCTCTGTACGTCTGCTGCTACTGCTCCTGCTGCTTCGGCCACTTCTGCACCTGCTACTCCAGCTGCTAATAATAACAACACTACCAAAAATACTGCTGGGGTAAACACCTTCATCAACGGCGCCAATGCTCCCATTCCGCCTCAAATCAAGGCCAATGCAGCTCAGGTGTTTGCTCAGGTGGCCCATGCAGCGCTTCAGGCCCCTCAGGTGCTTGGTCAGGTGCCCCAGGTGTCGAGCCTGCCGCAGGGTTCTCCTGGAAGGTCTGGTATGGAAATCAACACAGCGGTGCTTGCCTCTCTGCTTGCCACTGCTTCCTCCTCGCCCTCGTTTGCCACCGCTGCTGCTGCCTCTCCTTCTCCTGCTGCTGCTGGTGCTTCTGGGGATGCAGTGAGTGTGGCAAGGGCTCTTCAACAGAGGGGAGCAGTGCTGCTGCTGCAGCAACTATTGGGGCAGGGGCAGCACGGGCAGGGGCAGGGGCAGCACGGGCAGGGGCAGGGGCAGCACGGGCAGGGGCAGGGGCAGGGGCAGGGGCAGGGGCAGGGGCAGGGGCAGGGGCAGGGGCAGGGGCAGGGGCAGGGGCAGGGGCAGGGACAGCAGGGGCAGGGGCAGGGGCAGGGGCAGCAGGGGCAGCAGGGGCAGCAGATGCAACAGTTGTACCAGGTGCTGCGGCAGCAATGGCAGCAGCGACAAGGGCAGCAGCAATGGCAGCAGCAGCAAGGGCAGCAGCAACAAGGGCAGCAGCAACAAGGGCAGCAGCAATGGCTGCAGCAGCAAGGGCAGCAGCAATTGCAGCAGCAAGGGGAGCAGCAACGGCAACTGCAGATGCAAGGGATATCAAAGTTTCCTGTACCACCAATTCCCTCTGCTGTAGGATCAGGACACGTGGCAGCTGGGGAAGCATCTGGACCGTCCATCTCGCGCGTGAAGAACGGGGGAGATGCTGTGATGGAGGAAGCAGGGGAATGGGGAGTGTCGGGAGCGCTTGAAGATGTTGTAATGGGTGCTTCTGTAAAGAGTATAGCCAGGACTATGAGCACAACCACTTGTGCCAGTGTGAACGGAGAGGGGGTTTTACAGCAGCAGCAGCAGCAGCAAAGCCAGCAGCAACGGCAGCACCAGCATGGTCACAGCTACAGTGGGCAGGTACACATGTCAAGTGGTGATTCGTCCGAAGGGAGAGGGATTTGCTCAAGCCAGGCGAGTGAGAGGAGGGCCAGGAGTGCAGAAGAAGGAAGTGTGTATCGGGGGGTTGTGAATGGCATGAGGAGCATTGGTGGCAGTGGTTTTGATGATGGCATGGGGGGGAGTAAGAGAAAGAGCGATGGAGATTTGATGGGTAATTCTATGTTGTTGCGGCTGCAGCAGCAGCAGCAGCAGCTCCAGCAGATGCTGGGACAGGGGATAATAAAGCCGGGTAATAAGCCGCCGGCTTTTCCTTCGCAGACATTCTAGTTATAGGTCTGTGGCTAGAATATGGACTCCAATAAACAAGATTGATTGTATAATATAGAAATTTATTGTGGCATGTGCTTCAGTAATCCTATTGTTGGGCTGAGAAAAGCCCTTTCGGATCGTTTCAAGGCTAAGGGTACATTCCGCTGTGGACACATGTCCCAATCGATGTGTCCCAATTGAGTGTACCGCTCCGAACCGAACTAAACCAGAGACGCGAAAATTTCGAAACTAGGGTGCAATTTGGTGTAATACGATGCAGTGCGGTAGAAACGATTGGGACACATCGATTGGGACATGTGTCCACAGCGGAATGTACCCTAAGACTCGAAGTGATGATGTAATTGCGGAAGCGTTGTAGTGAACTAGTTGAATCACCTTGCACTAGTGTGTGAGAGCAAGATAGATTGATAACAGTAAAGAGATACAAAGCTTTATATGATTACAAGGGAATATGAAAGGACATAACTAACTCTTGCTGCTGCTATTGCGATTCGATACAGCTGCGACTCGGGCAACTGCTCAATAACGAGTCAGCTGTCGCGCTGCCTTTCGGTGAGTCAACGGTTGCTGACCTTTGACCTTCGCTTAAAGCTGCGGCCTACATACTCCGAGCGGGAGGGCTGAAATTATCACTGGAAAACAGGGTGACCAGTTTTTGGACTCGGCCCCCTTTCCTGCAAAGTTAACGGTTGAGAGGGGTGGAGAGAGGGGGTTGGGGTTCTTTCCGCACGAAACCGAACTCCCCAGGTTGTTTCCCGCCCTTCCGCAGACCCTCCTCCAAACCACCCGTCAGCACGAAATTGGGCTGGATTCGCGTTTCCTGTCTGAGTTCGTCTGCTGCGGTGTTTCTGAAACATGCTGACTTCGTTCTCCAATCAGGCCGCACGAAAGGGTTGGCATAAAAAATATACCCAAAGAACACCACTTAGTATGTAGACCGTAGCTTTAACCTCCTTTCTGTTGCATTTTGTCAACCTCTTCGGTTGACTCGCTGTTGCTTCACTGTAGTCTGCCTCGCTTACGATTCAATGTTTCGACACATCAGAAGCGCAAACTACATGTTTCCAACACCTATTACATTCATTGTTGTTCCATCCATTTGTGGTGGTTATGTATCTAAGATTGCGAATGGTTATATATCTATTGGTGGTGGCTCAAATATTTTGTATTCATAACAACGCAGAATCATTATCATCAAAGTCCAGCTCCTTTTAAAAACAATTGGATCGGAAATGTAATGAATATGAATTTATTACTGTAGAGGCTGCTCCTAGCGAGGACAGCCCCGAGCACTTCGCGTCAGTTTCGAGGTTCGGCCTACACTTCGGCCCGAACCACTGCCGAGTCGCTCCGCACCAATCGCGACACCTCCAACCCATCCACATGCCGAGGTCCGCGCCTAGCACGTACTCGCCCTATAAATGCCTCTCTTGTTCATTCAATCGTCATGCAGTAATTCTGTAGTTTTGTTACGTGTGCAATTGAGTGAGCGAGCGATGATTGCACTATCGAAGCAAGAGTACAATGAGCGAAGGCATGAGCGAAGAATATATAGCGAAACTGTCAAATTATATATATATACCTGTTTAGGTTAGCTAGGCTGCATGGGGGTTAGCACCAAGGGGTACACAAAAGTTCCTCGACACCCTAGTCTTGTACCCTAGCCTTCACCTAATTCATCATGATTGCCTTAGGTTCTTAACATGGTATCAGAGCTGCAGCAGCGCGGTCAGCTTCGTCTGCGTTACGTGGCCACTCAGGCCAACACCGCTGATATATTTACCAAGGCACTTCAGCCTGGTGATCATCAGCGCTTTTGCACTATGCTGGGGCTTGTGCCCACTTTTCCTCACTTGCTGTAGGCTTTGTTTGTACTGTGATCTATATATATACCTGCATGCTTGCTCTAGTAGGTAGAGATCACTGTGCTGTTGTTGTTACATATATATCTCTGCATGTGAACTGGCCTTGTGGCCTTTGCTTGTGCTCAGACTGCGTGGTGACGTTGTGATCCACCCTGAGCTGTGTTTTGTTTCTTCTCTTGACTGGTCTTGTGACCGTTGCTTGCCCTGGCTATCCCCCATTTCGCCTATGGGGGTGTGTCAAATTATATATATACCTGTTTAGGTTAGCTAGGCTGCATGGGGGTTAGCACTAAGGGGCACACAAAAGTTCCTCGACACCCTAGTCTTGTACCCTAGCCTTCACCTAATTCATCATGATTGCCTTAGGTTCTTAACAGAAACTACAGTGGTAACGGTAATGGACTGTGGTTGTCGCGCGACGGGCCTGGGACTGAGGTTGGGGAAAATGTCGAAGCGGAGGCCCGGAGCGCGGGTTACCCGCCGAGCCATGAGGTCGGGGTGCGACGTGCGAAGGTGGCGGGAGGATTGTCGATGCGAGGGTTGCGAGTGGTAACGGTGCTGACTGTGGTGCTACAGTGGTGTACGCGCTGAGCGGGGACGCGAAGTAAGGAAAAGGAATTTTCCTTACACTACCCCCCCCCTCCTAAGGAGGTCCTCCTTACGAAAGCGCGTGTACATCCCTGAAGTTTCGGCTGCGCAGATACTCGGTGAGGACGGGGTGGTTTTCGATTCTATCCAGGGGAACCCAGTTGTCTTCGGTGAGTGTACGGTCTTTCCAGCGGATCAGGAATTCGATCCTTCGGGCTCCTCGAGGGTCACGAACTCTGTGACTCAGAATCTTCTCGGGGGTGGTGATGATTGGTTCAGTCGGCGGTCGTGTCATGCTGGCTGGGCGATTGCGTGGGAGTTGGCTTGTGGACGGGACGTAGGGGCGAAGCAGGCTGACGTGGAAGGAGGGGCTGACGTACCAGTCAGCGGGGAGGAGGAGGTGGGCGGTGACGGGTGTGATCATGTGGCTGATGCGAAATGGTCCACAGTATCGGGGGCAGAGTTTTGGGGTGATGGGCAGGCGTAGGTTCTGGGTGTCAAGTAAAACTAGGTCGTCCGGCTGGTAAGTGACAGGTCTGCGGTGGCGGTCGGCGTTACGTTTAGCGATGATGTTGGATTTTTTTATTGCGCCTGCTGCCCGGGTCCGTGCTGCTTGTAATATTTCGGCGAACTGTTATGCTCGTGGCACTGGGTTGTCGGGATTCGGGGTCATGGGTATTGTCGGGTCTTGTCCGTAGTTTAAGTAAAATGGTGACTGTTGTTAGAAGTCTTAGGCAAGGATGAATTGAGTATCGAGAGAGTTGGTACAAGAGGAAAACTCTAAGGGGTTATACCCCACACTATCTACCCCACTACAGCCTAGCAATAACACTAACATATAGATATATGTTTGACACACCCCCATAGGCAAAGTGGGGGAGAGCAGGAGATCACAAGACCAGTCAAGAAAAGCAAAGCAAGCTCAGGGTGGATCACAACGTCACCACACACACTGAGCACAAGCAAAGGGCCACAGGGCCAGTTCACATGCAGAGTTATATATGCAGTACAAACAACACAGTGATCTCAATCTAGCAAAGCCTACAGCAAGTGAGGAAAAGTGGGCACAAGCCCCAGCATAGTGCAGAAACGCTGATGATCACCAGACTGAAGTGCCTTGGTGAATATATCAGCAGTGTTGGCCCGAGTGACGAGGGGGAGCCGGCTGACGCTGACGAGGAACACGACGACTGGAACGACCAGAACGGACAGGTGAGACAGGACGCGACGCAGGCTCACGACGCTCAGCAAGGCCCCCGGTCTGCTCTGTGTACGGAGAAGGAGCAGGCAGCGGTGAGCCAGGCTGTAACGGAAGACCAGTAGACGAGGGGAGACTGAGAACCTGGCGAAGTGCAGAGGCAGGTGGTGGCAGAGACGACGGAGACGGCGGAGCGAAGAACAGGCGCGGCTGTGCAGTGCCACCAGCACCAGCAGCACCAGCACCCCCAGCAGCTCCAGTACCCTCAACAGCTCCAGCACCACCAGCAGCTCCAGCACCCTCAGCAGCTCCAGCACCTCCAACTGCTCCAGTACCCTCAGCAGCTCCAGCACCTCCAGCAGCTCCAGTACCCTCAGCACCAGCTCCACCCGCTACAGCACCCCCAGAACCGGCACCTCCAGCCCCAGGGTCTCCAGCCGCAGTGCCACCAGGAGCAGCACCCTCAGACGCAACACCGCCAGCCCCAGCAGCTCCAGTACCCCCATTACGAGCACCTCCGGGACCAACTACACTAGCACCTCCAGCAGGCAAAGGACCAGCACCACTCCCAGCGCCAGTGACCTCAGCAGAAGGACCCCCAGCAGGAGAGACCTGAGGTGCAGAAGCGCGACGCTGACGGCGACCGTACCAGTCGTGCAGCTGCTGGGAGGTGAGAGGCACATGCGGACGAAGACGGCTACTCCAAGGAGACCGCGAAACAGCAGGCTCACAACCCTCAGGCGACTCACCCCCAGACTCAGCACCCCCAGGCTCCGCACACGCAGGCTCAGCACCACCAGACGCAGCACCCCCAGAAGC